CGGTAATTTTAAACCTCACAGAATTAGCATTTAGAATTAATGTTAAATAATGAAAAAGATTATAAAATTCCGATGAAGAATAATTGTGTTACTTTTTAATATTTAAAGCGAGAAGACTTCAAAATGTTTTAACCCGGGAGCAGGCGCGCACTCGATACTAACGCTAATGGTAGTGCGGGGCGGGGGACTCAGTCACCCCAATCATTTGTTTATAATTATTTTTATTGTACACGATACAAATCGGAATTCCAGTGAATAATTTAAGAAAAAGTATACTTACCGGCTTTCAAGGACTATTCAATTTTTCTTTGATGATTTGAGAAAAAATCCAATAAAACAACTAAAATGATTCAAAAATGCAAGACCTTAATAAAGGACGCAAATCAGAGACACTTTTCACTAATATTACAGAAATGTTATTTGCTGGCAAAGCTGTCATATTTTGTTCCAAGTTATTGTAGTTTTAATAAGCTTTCATGATCGCGAGTGAGTGAATTTTAACGTCGCACTGTTCATCTACACAAGGGCTTTTGGAGACGGAACTCGTAATTTTGAACCATGGTCAAGTGACGAGGACGATGGTTGTATCCAACCATGGCAGGCCCTGAGTTTAACTACCACGCCACTCCAACAAAAGGATGTTTGAGCTCTCGACAGATTTAACGTACATCTCTCCCTTACATTGCGGGTCTTTAGTGGTACTAGGCTCGAACTCGTGACTCCTTTGGTGATCAACAAATAGCAAGTCGAACTTTTTCTTTCTTGTGTCTCTTTGACAAGGCGAACTGAAACTTGTGGTACAATTATGGCTTCATATTTTAAATTGATGGAGTTCTTTAGGAAGCATTTGAAAATTTTCCTTTCGTTTCATGTTCATGGCGTTTCTCAATCATGAATAATATGCATTATTTCAGCAGGTTCTTCTTTCGCTTGATAAGTTTCAACTTCCTTCAATAGAGATCACAGATGCCGCGCGGCACCGCTCTCGGGTTAAAAGTGTATTCAGAAAAAGTACGGATGATCTAATAATCCTTTAAATATCAATCAATTATTTTCCAAATATCGTAAAACTCTTTATTATTTACAATTTCATTAAGCGAAAAACAAACACATAAAAGATGGGACGGAACTAATGTAGAACTAACCATACCAGTAAGTTTGAAGGTCAGTTAAATGATTAGCAAATGTATTATGCAACCTGGCTGAAAAGTGAATCATGTCTTCCTTTTCTTTTTCTATAACTAATGTACAGTATTTCAGTAATAATTACAGTGATGAATTTCTAATGATTCTTTGAATTTTTCTCAGGGTCTGGGTTTTGTTTTTTCTTTTAACGAATAATATTTTATGTTAAAACGTAATAAAAAAAATCTCTGATTGAGGAAATACAGCAAATTAAACAAAATGTTTTTTTTCTTTAATTTGGTTTAGGGATCAAAGATAGCTATTTGCTGACGGAAAAACGCCAGATGATAAACATAAATTATATCAGTGTTGTTGTGTATTTTTTTTATTATGGAAGAAAGTATTTTGTTTTACTTCTCTTTCCGATTATTTTTTTAAAAAACTTTAAATTTTCGATATGCTCGCATCCCCCTTGTAGGGTCATCGCCCCCCAGGGGGGCGCTCCCCACACTTTGAGAAACACTGATTTAAATAAATTTTTTTTGTTAAAATGTCCTTAAAACAATTTTATGCATGTATTCTAATCTAAGTGACACTAAATATCACGAAAATTATCCATTTATGCACTTTTTTTAAAATCACGGTTCCGAACGCAGTCGGATACCTTAAGCAAATCATTCCATAAATAAATAATAATACAAAACGCTATACAATGCAGAATATGTACTGTGCTTCGACTTCAAAATTAACATTTTGACGTGGTGTACAAGCCCACATTGAAGAGTCAGCTGAAATGTTCATATCAACACTTGACACTGGAGTACAGCTAAGCAGTGGCGACTATGAGGAATAGTAGTGTAAGATGTAAAGTTTATAATGTAGTGGTGAATTTCCTTTTGGCAATAAATTTTTCATGTGAAAAAAATGGTGAAACTTAACCCTCTGACCGGAGCACCAATTTTTTTGCCGCACTGAGGAACATCCGTCTGACAGACAGGTACGTAATTTGGGGGGGTTTTATTACCTTAAGGACTGTTTTAAGTGTTCTTATAGCTCAAATGAAATTGAGTATGGCTCAAATAAGATGTGTTGGATTAAATCAAGCCCAACAATATATTTTTATCACTAGAATTGTGACTAGTATTTTTATAAAAACTGATTAAAAATTATTTATATTCATGTAAAAGTAATTAAAAATAATAATACCAAACATGAAAAAACAAGAGGAATATCCTTCTGATAGACGGCGATAGATAAGAAAAATCGCACATTTCGTGAGTTAAAAAACATCGCCGTGTACCACCACGTGATCCTCTCACCGGGTAGAGTCCAACTGAAGATGCCAAGGCAGCCCACCCCAAAACTCACACCACAGCGTTATCTATAGGCATCAAAGCAAATCTTCCCCATGTGAGAGATGGATGTTCCGGTCAGAGGGTTAATTTCGGAACGTCCCTCGTAAAATCTGCAGTGGACAATATTCTCATCGTTGAAGAGATCATATAATTTCAAATGACATTGGCGAGGCTTATACAAGGTTATTCATTATTCCCTCCCAGGTTTCGAACCACTATAGTAAAAAAAAAAACTAAGACGAATACAGCAAAAAAAGAATATTTGAAAGCATAAAAAAAATTCAATTTTTATTTACATGCCTTACTTATTATGCTCTATGAAGGAAACCTTGGTAACACGGTATGCATCAATGTGATAATCCAGTTCCTGCCGTACTCTACTTAACATGCACCATCAACGTTATTGGCAGCACGTGTTATCCATCCATGCAGTTCTGCTACATCACGCGGCAAAGAAGGTAAGAAAACTTGGTCTTATGTAAAAGACCAAGTATTTTGGATAACACGGAAAGAATGACACATTCTGTCAATAACATTGATGGTGTAACAACCAGTGGGCAGTGATGTTCGAGTAAAGATAAGCCATAACAACTTTTAAACACAATTTTATTACTATCTTCACTTGATCAACGAACACAATTAAAAGTAGGAAATGCACTCAATAATAAACTTGGAAGAGCAATGGCATAGGCTTAATGCAACTAAAATATAATTATAATTACTTAACTGACTCCTAGAGCGGTCTTGACTCCTACGCTTAGATTCTCTTTAAATATCTTGCTTGCTTTTACACAATTTAATCAACTTTTAATCGCCAACTATCAACCATCGACCATCATCGCGTACTCTAATGCCAACGTTTAAATAGAAGTACTCATTTACCTGAATCCCGGCTTCTTCACAGATTTAAACAGATTACAGTTAAAATGAATAGTTTTACCCTAGAGCAGGGGTGGCGAACCTTTATGGATCAACGTGCCATTTTTTCCAAAGAAATGTTTAATGAGGTTGTAAAGTATTCGCCCGTGGGTGATGCCTTACTTCTAAGTTATCTTTGTGACCTAGAGGTGTGGGAGTGAATGAAGAACCAGGCGTTGCCATGTTCTTAATATATCTTTATTAAGATCTTAATCACTAACAATGATAATATTTATATTTTAACTTAGCGGATCTGAGGTGAGAAAACACACAATACGTATTACCAAATAAGCGCGACATTAACCACTATATTCCCGCCTATTCCTAATCTCAACTTATACACAGTTCCTAATAGATAACAGACTTATCCTACCTTAATCTCTTGGTTAATAACAATCCTCTCGGATCCTAAATATCTTTTCTTGATCTCGCGTGGAATAGTATTCACCTTGACTTGATCGTTCTGTCACGGATAGCTTCACACTCGAATAACGGCTCACTTCTCTGACTTTAGTTTACACGCTTAAACTCTGACTAGCATAATCACTTCCCAATAGGCCATACGCTTACGTTAAACTTCTGCTATTTAAAAGGTTCCTAATTTGCATACTCAAGCTTCGCTGCTGGATTTGGTTGGAAAGAATTTGCCTTTTTTGGCCCCAAAGAACCCAAGAGGAGTTTTTAGTTGAAAACGCGATGAGTCCGTCACAAGGTATGGATGTGCCATCAAATAATTTTGACTTGTGATTATTGGGAAAATAATAAAACTAAGTACTACTAAAACTCAAAACTCTATTTCAAAAAACCTTGCTCCTTATGGTAGTAAATATTTTAGTTATACGTGTAATTCAAATTAAAGTAACATTAGTGTGATTTCTGTTGCTGCTGATTAGATGAAAAATAACTTATATTAGGATTGTAAGATTTTACTTTTAGCAAAATGCATGCTGAATTTGTATCATCTGTCAAACAGTTTCTAAGCGAGTTTTTAATGATATTCATCTCCGAAAATAATGACTTGCAGGCGTGGGTAGAAGAAAATACGGTTAAAATAGATGACCCGGCTTCTTCAAACAGTTAAATGTATCTGGAATCGAATTCCATGATTCCGAACTCTCATTATTAGCCTTTTTACTTATATTGCTTGTTAAATTTCTGTTTCAATCAAAATTCCAACTTTCTCCTTTCTTCAACAAATTTTTGAATCTATATTGAACTAGACTAGAAATTAATCAGTTGCATTACAAAATTTTGAATTTCCAACCAATCGAATTGGGACAAACTCAACTTATTAAATGAAATCACATCAGGGTACATAAAAAAACTCAAACGTTTCCGATAATTCTTTGAACTGCGAAAATCTCGCGGAAAACTGCAACTGATTACTCGCGTTTGTTCGTAATACTTCATACTGAACTTTGTTATTTTGAATTAAAATGCAAACCGTTTTGGTGGGTGGCGTGCCCAAAATATTGTGTCGCGTGCCAGTGGTTCGCCATCCCTACCCTAGAGGGTTAATAGAAGCTCTCGCGTATAGACCCGTTACAATAGTACTAAATTGACTAACATGAACTAATATATATGTTGTATTATCAAGATTTCGCCGTCCAGCCAGTACGGTGGATAGGACTCTCAGCTTGTAACCGAGTGGGTTCGGGTTCAAATCCCGAGTAAGGCATTGTACCTTCTTCGGGAAAAGAAGTCGAACTTTGGATTGCCGTATCGAATGGAAAACAGCCCACCCCTTTTGTTATTGGCTGGGATCATCATTTGTAATAAATGTCTATATTCTTCTGCTTGTATTGTATGTTTCTGTTCTTCCGCTCGTATTTCATATGTATCCCAGGATAAAAGCAAACAACAACAACAACCAAGGTTTCACACATAGAATACTTGTTAAGTATATAAATAAGAATTGTTTTCGCATTCTTTCAAATGCTCCTTTTTTTGCTTTGCTTTCTTAGTTTTTTCATTATAGCGCTTCGAAACCCGGGAGGAAGTAATGAAAAACCCTGTAATTCCAGGACCATGTTTATGTGGGATACTACATCTTTTACTATTCACGAATTATCCTTTTCAGGCTGCAAATGCACTGGTGGATCATGTGTAATGAAGGATGGAAAACAAATTTGCCAATGTCCTCCCGAATTTGGTAGTTACTCAGCTACCTTGTGCAAAGGTGAGTGACAAACTTTTCATAATTTGTTTTAAAAAAATATTAGATAAAATATTTAATGATAGATCATTATATTTAAGTCACTTTAAGGGGACATGGGACGATTTACGCAAAAATTTTTGATTTAAGAATTTTCAAAATATTTTTCGTTGCCTCCTATGTGTATACTATGTAAAATCGATTTTGTGCTCAAAATTTCATAAAAAGCTAGCCATTTAATTTTGAAGGCAAAAACTTGAAATTTGTGAAGTGATTTTAAAATGCCTAGGGGTGTGGGAGGGAATAAAGAACCAGGCGTTGTCATAATCTTAATATCTCTTTATTAAGATCTTAAACACTATACAATGATAATATTTATATTTAAACTTAGCGGATCTGAGGTGAGAAACTCACAATACGTATGACCAAATAAGCGCGACACTAACCACTATGTTTAACTTTACCGCCTATTCCTAATCTCAGTTTATACACAATTCCTAATATTAATTTGAACGATCCTACCTTAATATCCTAGGTAGCAGCAACACACTCGAATCTTTAAATGACTTTTCTTTATCTCGCGGGGAATGATATCCACCTTGACTTGATCGCTCTGTCATGGATAGATTAACACTGGAATACCGGCTTACTTCAGCTTACACGCTTAAACTCCGACTAGCATAATCACTTCCCAAAAGCCACCCTGCTTACGCTAAACTTCTGCTATTTAAAAGGTTTCTAATTTGAATAATCACGCTTCGCTTCTGGATTTGGTTGGAAAGAATTTGCCTTTTTCAGCCCCAAAGAACCCAAGAGGAAAATTAATAGAAAGTGGAATGGCAAATCGTATTGTGTCTTCTTAAGCACTTAAAGTTACTGACTTCATTCGAAACCGTATAAATGGATAATTGTTTTGATATCTAGTGTCAATTGAATTAGAATATATGTGCATATAAAACTGTTTTACGAATATTATTACAAGAAAAAATTATTTAAATGCAATTTTTTGGCAAAAAATGAAGAATGAATTTTTAAGCCATTCATCTTTTATGAAAATTGCTCTTATATAATCACATTCTGCTTACATATAGCCAAGACTTCTACACCGGGGTTGAACTGAAATCTTTGAAATATATAATTTAGAAGAGGATTTATTTAGATTCTGTTAAATCAAAGTAAAGAAATTTTAACAAGGAAAACACCGGTTAGTCCTTCAATTGATAGTAACTCTAAAGATAACGTGAATTTTTCAAAAAAAAGAAATTAATTCAATCCCGGTATAGAAGTCTAAGCTACATATATGCAAAATATAATTATTATATAAGCTAGAACAGCATTCTTGATCGAAATACATGGTTTTAGAAGAGTTTTTTAATTGGTGCAGCTTGGTGATCTAGTTTAGGATGGCACATCTTTCAATTTTTCCACGAGGCCTTTTAGAGTCTGTAAAAGAGAGAAATCTTAATATTAAATGAGACATTCGCGAACCCCCTAAAAATGCACTAGGTACTCCCGAGGGTTACAGGCCACAGTTTAAAAACCGTTCATCACTACTAATCACTTTAGTTATTTATATTGAAGGAGAAAATAATTTTATTTTGATTCTAAAATCATCTAACCAAATTGAAGTCTTTTCCCATTTTTTTTTCTTAAATTCAACCTCTTTGTGACAATATTAAATTTCGAAGTTATTTTTTTTTAAATTATTTTTATCCTAATCTTCATAATATAGGGCATCTTTTCCGCAAAGGTAAGTTTCGAATAATAATTTTTTCCTCTCCATATAACCGCAATCGACCTTACTATGCATTCTGTAACGATTATTATTATGACACCAGATGATGACGTCGGAGACCACCAAAAGTGGATGGTGTTACTGTCTGAGATAGTAGGGGAGAAGGGTTTCCTAGAATCCATTTCCCCTACGTTTCGAGATAGACTCCTCTAGAAAAGGACATGCGCGAGGACCGTTTGAAGGTCCCGCCTGCAAGCAGAGAGAAAACACCGTACCCTGGGTGTAAGATGGCGAGTTAGATGTTCTTGTAAATAAAATTATATATTTATATCTCTAGCCTGACTGTATGTTTTCGTATCCAATATGCCATAATTCTATGTGACAGTTAGTATTTCCGATCAACTGTCATTTCATTTTTAAAATAAGAGATGGGTGCGGAAGATTAAAATGTTTTACTTGATAAAATATATTTTTTAATTTTATGTATTTATATTTATTCATCTGATTTATAATTTGAAAACAAAAATAATATCTTATGGGAATTTTTTGGATTCAGTTACAAATTATTGAAAAAATATATATTTTTCTCTTTTGGATGTAAATGTGATATTTAATAAAAAGATTTTATATTATATATATTTTCAGCATGCGAATGTGGAAAAGGCGCTAACTGTACGTATGAACAATCTGGATGGTTTTCAGTTAAAAAGACATGCATCTGTCCAAATGGATATCTCGCCAATGGTGAAAAATGTATAGGTATATTATTACTTTGTTGTTGATGTCAGATTAATGAAATTTTTAAATAAGCTTTGTAGCTGCAATAATTATAAATTTAATAATTTAATAAAAAATTTACTTTTTCCTTTCTAAAACAATCTTGCTAGAAAAATATTGAAATATTTGTCTTTTGAATGCCTGAAAATGTTTGATTGGTTGAATTTTGATGTCAATAAAGAGCAGGTAAACATTTTTATAGATGTATAATGATTAAAGAATTATAAATAAAGTATTATAAAAAATAGGAAAAAAATTTGTTAGAAGGATAAATGATAAGTACAATAAAAAAACGGTGCTTGGAATGCCTCGCGATAGAAGAGTAACTTCTTTGGCGACGTTGGAACATTGATTATTTGCCCTAATATTCCAAATAGACCGTGTACATGTCTCAATCGCCTAATTTGCATGAAAGGCATTCGTTGCGGAATGAATTTTTCTGATACCCAATCCAAAGTAGGAAGATGTGCTGGAATTTCTGGGTATGCAAAACCATTATATTTTGATAAATTTGGTATACTTTTTCTACTTGAACTTTGTCGGCAATTGTAGCATGCTTTAATGTCTTCTAATTTATTTCCCGGTAAAAATATTTTGTAAAATATTTTTTTGCTTAGCAACAGGCATTCTCAAATCATCTCTAAACCATAATCTATCACAAATCGAACACACATGACCAAAAAGATTATCAACGAATCGATGTTGAGAATCTTTGTGATAATTTTTATGGGAATCATAGTCTTTGTAACGTAAGACAGAATTTATTATCGATTCACATGCATCAGTTCCAACAAGCACTAAACTTGTTGAAGGCTCTGTAGTTATGGCGCAAGGTGGTTCACAAAGTCCGTATTAATCTGTGCTGTGATTATAAGAGTCTCAATAGCATTCCCATTCTTTAAACTCGGCATTAAGAGAGTATTTTGAATTTTTTTTTCCGTGCTCGATATACTCTTCTGTACTCTGATGGAGATTTTGCAGTGGCACGATGAATTTGCACTATTTTTCTGTTTTTTGTCACTTTTTCGACTGGACTTGATGCTAGTTTCTCTTTTTACTTTTTCTTTCACAAAATTCTTTTCCTCTTTGGGCATTTGATTTAGGAATTCTGACTAGAATCCTAATATATATTATAAACGCGAAAGTTTGCGAGGATGTTTGGCTGTCTTTCACGCAAAAACAACTGAATGGATTTTAATGAAACTTTACAATAATATAGCTTATAAATCAGAATAACACACAGGCTATAATTTATAAAGATATTATGTGAAGTTTTCAAAATATAACTAACGACAATTGTCAAGAAAGTAGGAAAAAATTCTGCCATTTGAAAAAAGGCCCATGACAGCATTCATCTATCTTTTTTATTCCTTTTGTTTTGTCTACGCCATGCCTCAGTGCGCTCTCACTTTTAATTTATTCCGTTCATCAGTGTAATCACTATTTTTTTATATCGTAATAAAACTAGATCTCGAAGAGAGAGAGGCGGTGGTAAGATTTTAACATAAAATAAATACAACACAAAAAGTAATATTAATGTATTACACTTCCTGATTAAAATTATTTACACTAGATTAAAAATTATAAAATGGATGCTGCAGTATTATAAACATTGCTGACTTAGGACAACTAATATATAAAATAATTTATATAAAAGTGGGATTGAACATGTTTTTTGGCCAGCCAACCTTCTCCCTTTATGTAAATAATACTGAGCAAAAACCCATTGAAAGTAATGGATAGAAATATCTAAATCCATTACAAAATAGAGGTAACTTACCTAAAAATTGCACTTGAAAATGCAGGGCCCGCGCTAAATCTGAGTGCAATAAATAAGTTATTGCCAGATTCTGGACCCTAATGCAGATTCAAAGCATGTGAATGGCTGAAATGTAGCACTTGACAAAAGTATAAAAAGAATAGAAACAAAAATTAATAAAAGAATTACAAAATACCATAACTTAAGTGACACTAGAGTACATATGAATTAAATAATAATAAGTAAATTTAA